ATTACGGGACTTGTAGTTTACACAAGAAAAATACAATTCTTTTTATCTCACATGGCGGGACAAGGGCACGGCATTTCTGGTAGGATCAACACCCACACTATATTGCCAAAAGTATTGGGACACCCCTACAAATCATTGGATTCAGGTGTTCCAATCACCTCCATGGCCACAGGTGTAAAAAAAAAAATCACGCACCTCGGCATGCAGACGCTTCTACAAACATTTGTGAAAGAATGGGTCACTCTCAGGAGCTCAGTGACTACAAGCGTGGTACCGGGATAAGTTGTCACCTGTGTAATAAGTCCATCCGTGACATTTCCTTGCTACTAAATATTCCATGGTCACCTGTTACTGGTATTATAACAAAGTGGAAGCAACTGGGAACAACAGCAATTCAGCCACAAAGTGGTAGGCCACGTAACATGACAGAACGGGGTCAGCGCATGCTGAAGTGCACAGTGCGCAGAAGTCACCAACTGTCTGCAGAGTCAATAGTTACAGACCTCCAAACTTGGTGTGGCCTTCAGATTGGCACAACAACAGTGCGCAGAGAGCTTCATGGAATGGGTTTCCATGGCCGAGCAGCTGCATCCAAGCCTTACATCACCAAGTGCAGTGCAAAGCTTGGGATGCCGAGGTGTAAAGCACGCCGCCACTGGACTCAGTGAGCCCGGCCTTCTCCCCCCAACATCAGTACCTGACCTCACAAATGGTCCAACATTCCCATAGACACACTCCTAAACCTTGTGGACGCCTTCCCTGAAGAATTTAAGCTGTTATAGCGGCAAAGGGCGGAGCCAACTTAATATTGAACCCTACGGCCTAAGACTGGGATGCCATTAGAGGTCATGTGCGTGTAAAGGCAGGCGGCCCAATACATTTGGCAATATCGTGTATATTCTGTACTTGCTGAAAATGTTCTTAGCCTGGAAAAAGAAACAAATGCAGCCATCACATCTAAGGACTGCTAAGCAGCAATAGATCACATTTTTGTCTTTAGATACCCCTTCCTCTGGTTACTAGATACTACTAGAAGACAGTCCACCCCTCATTCACACACCTCCTTCAGGTCATCTGAGTCAGCTGTCTTCCCTCGGGCCTCTTATTTAATTTCATTGTACAGATCAAAATGTATAAAGAAATGGAATCCGCCACTCTATAGGGAGTCTGAATGTCATTGTCAAAGATTAACCCCGAGCTAATATTTGTTCATCTCGCTGACATACGCCGTGTCCTTGGAAGATAGAGCATGGTGCTGCCTGACTGTTCAAACAGCCCCCCTTTCCCAGGACGTCATATCAGTGACCCGTATCCCCATACAAGTCTGTGTACTGTACATACTCTATACTGCCAAAAGTATTGGGACGCCGGCCTTTACACGCACATGAACTCTAATGGCATCCCAGTCTTAGGCCGTAGGGTTCAGTATTGGGTTGGCTCCGCCCTTTGCCACTATAACAGCTTCAACTCTTCTGGGAAGGCGTCCACAAGGTTTAGGAGTGTGTCTATGGGAATGTTGGACCATTTGTGAGGTCAGGTACTGATGTTGGAGGAGAACGCCGGGCTCGCAGTCTCCGCTCTAATTCATCCCAAAGGTGTTCTATCGGGTTGAGGTCAGGACTCTGTAGAGGCCAGATCCATCGGATTGCCAGACAGAGAAGCGTGATTGGTCACTCCAGAGAACACGTCTCCACTTCTCTAGAGTCCAGTGGCGGCGTGCTTTACACCACGGCATCCGACGCCAGCATCCCAAGCCTAGCACAGCATGATGTCATTGACTTTATATGGCCACATGACCCTATTAGGTTAATGTGATGGACCAAAGTTGGCTCCTCCGAACCCGGAAGTGCCATGGGGGCCACCTTACCAATCAGCTGATACCCCAGCCCTGCAAATAAACAAAGAGGTGGAATGCTTGCGCTGACGGCATTTATCTTATATGGCTACATGACTATATTAGGTTAATGTCATTGGCCAAATATAGCCATGAAGCCATATAAGGTCAATGACATCACAAAACCCCGCCCCTTTGCTTATGTGCAGCTGCCATTGGGGAATTCCCCGGTGGCAGTGCAATGCAGCTTCCTTCCGTATTTGGACAAGCTCAGGTCTGAACCTGAGATCATCCCTAGTGACAACCATGCTTCTGGTAACAGGATGTTGTCACCGGGGGGATAAGGTTTTGTCACCAGAGTATAAGATTTAGAATTCAAGTAATAGGATGTTGTCACCGGGGGATAAGGTTCAGAATCCGAGTAATAGGATGTTGTCACTGGGGGATCAGGTTTAGAATTCGAGTAAGAAGATGTTGTCACCAGGGGATCAGGTTTAGAATTGCAGTAATAGGATGTTGTCACCGGGGCTCGCAGGGGATAAGGTTTAGAATTGGAGTAATATGATGTTGTCACCGGGGGATAAGGTTTAGAATTCGAGTAAGAAGATGTTGTCACCAGGGGATCAGGTTTAGAATTGCAGTAATAGGATGTTGTCACCGGGGGATAAGGTTTAGAATCCGAGTGACATGATGTTGTCACCGGGGGGATAAAGTTTAGAATCCGAGTAATAGGATGTTGTCACCGGTAGATGAGGTTTAGAATTCGAGTAATAGGATGTTGTCACCGGGGGGATAAAGTTTAGAATCCGAGTAATAGGATGTTTTCACCGGGGGGATAAAGTTTAGAATCCGAGTAATAGGATGTTGTCACCGGGGGGATAAAGTTTAGAATCCGAGTAATAGGATGTTGTCACCGGTAGATGAGGTTTAGAATTCGAGTAATAGGATGTTGTCACCGGGGGGATAAAGTTTAGAATCCGAGTAATAGGATGTTGTCACCGGGGGGATAAAGTTTAGAATCCGAGTAATAGGATGTTGTTTAGAATCCGAGTAATAGGATGTTGTCACCGGGGGATAAAGTTTAGAATCCGAGTAACAGGATGTTGTCACCGGGGGATGAGGTTTAGGGATGAAGCAGACGTCAGCCCGATCACTAAAACCTCATTGAAGATTTAACGTCTGCACTCCATTCCAAAAGTCATTTTCACAACCAATAAATCTGCAGCTTTCAATGATAGCGGTCGATGTGCCCCGAAGGTCCCTCCCTAGGCACTTCCTCTTATTGGGTGACAACGCTCTGTCCCTGTGCTCCAGTGTTGTCACCCGTTCTTCTGATGAAGACATCAACACACATTCAACAGGAATGATCCGCTGTTGTCACCATCAGGAAACACGTCCTGAGAAATCCAACGCGGCCATCGCTGGAGGGCTTGTAGCCAAGAAGTTGCTGCAAAGAGGCTGCAGGAGATCGGCAGCAATGACATGTGACAAAGGATGAAAAAAAAAGCTGCAAGGCGGGATTTTATGTCAGGTGATTGTGATTCTGTCAGGTGTATGGGGGCGCATTAGGGAAGCGGTCACCCCGAAATCTTGTCATTAGTGCACATGGTATCCCGCACTGGACTTGACTTTATAAAGTGATTGATGATGAAACGCGGAGAAGACAGGAAGTGCCTCAGTCAGAGTTTTATCTGAGTCAGGAGGAGGCGTGGCCTGTCTGTCGGCTGTCCCACTTGGCACCTCTATCTGGTCACAGAGAGGATGTGGGGAGCCAATGGGGGGACTGGGATCTAATGGTATCCGTATAATATTTCTATGGTACGCATGTTATCTAGGGATTGTCATTGCCCGTGCGTTGTCACATTTCCCTATTTGTGGCCTACATAATGTCATGAGAGCCAGCTTGTTGCCCACATATTGCCCGTCTGCTCCTTGTGTTTTACAGCATTGCCTATTTGTTGCCTGTGTACCGATTACCCATTTGCTGCCTCAATGTTGTCACAATTGCCTAGTTGTTGCCCCCCGTATTGTCATGAGTGCCCATATGTTCCCCCGTATTGCCATTATTCCTCATTTGTTGCCCTGTATTGTCATGATTGCCCATTTATTATCCCTCCTATTGTCACGAATGCCCAGTTGTTGCCCTGTATTGCGACTATTGCCCATTTGTAGCCCTGTAAGCAAGATTGCTCCTTTGTTACCCCCATTTGTCATAAGTGCCCATTTGTTGCCCCATGTTGCCATTTTGTTGCCTTGTATTGTCATGATTGTCCATTTGTCGCCCCCCGTTTTGTCATGAATGCCCAGTTGTTATCCCTCCTATTGTCATGAATGCCCATTTATTATCCCTCCTATTGTCACGAATGCCCAGTTGTTGCCCTGTATTGCGACTATTGCCCATTTGTAGCCCTGTAAGCAAGATTGCTCATTTGTTACCCCCATTGTCATAAGTGCCCATTTGTTGCCCCATATTGCCATTTTGTTGCCTTGTATTGTCATGATTGTCCACTTGTTGCCCTGTATTGTAACAATTGCCACTTTGGTGCACACACATTGCCACAATTGCTTTAGTGTAGCCCGCGTGTACCTATGTACACCAGTTTTGTGACTGTATGACCAGCCAGAACTGGAGGCATGATCACTATAATTTAATACCCTCCCCCCATCATTACAAGTGAAGTCATATCCATAAAATGTTGATATTGTGTCCACACCCCTAAATCAGTGCCATTAGATATAGTTTAAAAAAAAAACGTAACCCTAACAGCACCCCCCGACTGCAGATTTCTGAAACAGGTGGTGAGTGGAAATCTTTGAATTGGGTTACCTGTCCCGGTGACTATTAATAGGGCATTTCCCCTTGCTTTAGAGAAAAATTGCTCTCACTTCCTGTTGTGTCACCAGAACAGGAAGTGATGACGAGTCTCGCCAATGCACTAGCAAAAAAAAAAAAGAATAAAAAAAAAAAAGGAGGTTTTAAACGTTCCCCGTTCTATCCAAAACTAAAATAAAAAGTTCTGGCGTTAGGCACACTTCCAACGTAAGGTTTTTCATTATTCAAGTTCCAGGCACATTTCATAAGCTGCCTTAGCCCCGCCTCCTGTTGCCCTGATTCCGTAGTGGGCGTGTCCCGCAGCATGAACGCGCGTGGCGCTCCAAGTCCATTGCCAGTGTGTTGTTTCTCCCTGCCACACGCAAGATGGCGCCGGTGACACGCCGCTTCTTTGGGTCACCGCGGGGTCAGAGGGGGCGTGTCCGGCTCCCCTAGCATGGCTCCACGGTACCGGCCTCTACACGCGGTGCTCCGGCTTCTGCCATATGAGTGTGGCGCCTCCCTGTGCCGAGGCTTCAGCGTCCAGGCTGTTCCCGCTGTCAGGATGGAGTATCAGGTAAGCGGGGGATGGGGGTACGCCGGGGCTCTCCTCATTGACTCATTCATATTGGATGGCAGCCAGGCGCCTGCCGGGTTTGTGTAACACGTGGTTGGTGGAGAGGGACTATAAGTCCCAGCATGCCTTGAGGCTGCACGCGGCTTCCTCAGTGTTATGGCCGTGTCAGTGAAAATCTGAGGTCTGCATAGAGCTGCCTGTCAATGTCCCGCACAGCTCTAACGCAGGGGGGTGGGCAACTCTGGCCCTCCAACTGTTGGAGAACTACGAGTCCCATGAAGCATTGCAAGACTCTGACAGCCACAGACATGACTCCTCCCAGAAGAATATTGGGATTTGTAGTTAAAGCACATTTAGAGGGTTGGTGTTGGCCACCGCTACTGTAATGGTTAATCCTGCCTGGCAGACCCCATTTGTGCCCGAGCGGTTCGTTGCGCCTTCCCCGAAGCATTTCATTATTTTCAGTGGTGCCCGTTCACACCCGAGCAATGTGCTGCATGTAGCTTCGGAGACCCCCCCCCATTAACGCTTGCCCGTGTGTCACGTCTATGTGTGGCATGCAGAGGCCAAGTTCACAGCTGGGCGATCTGTCACCGCGCGGCAATCGTGCATGCAACCGTGCGGCCACCGCTGATTTTCACTTGAGGTGCCATTCATTTCTAATGGTACCCCAGTCGCGCCAGGCAGATCGCGATTCCGCCCGTTCACAGAAAATGCAGACAAGATCTGCATGAGTTTCTGCGCCTGCAGTGGGTTGTGCCGCGTTTTTGATGTGTTCCGGGCCGTTTTTGGTTAAAAAATAATTAAAACATTGTTTTGTAAGGTTTAAAATGGGCTTTCAGTGCGTTCCAGGGCGTTTGCATGCGTTCCAGAGCAGGTAAAATAGGGCTTGCTACAGTTTTTTTTACATGCTCTGGAACTGAACGCTGCGATGTGAACTGGAGCCCAAAATACCATTGGAATACATTGGACGCAGTTTTGCTCCGGTCTGTAACCGCTCTGCTCTTGGAACACGCTTGGTGTGAACAAGTCCTTTAAAAAAAAGAGAGAAGCTGATTGGGTGCCATGGGCAACTGCTCCAGATTCTGTCTGCTTTGGTTCTGAAAGATTCAGCTCGTAGGGAGAATTTATCAAAACTGGAGCAGCTGTGCGTGACATCCAATCAGCTTCTAGTAAAGCGGGCCATACACCTATCTGCAGATTTTCTGGGGTCAGATGGAAAAATTGCAACAGATTCCTCCATCTACGCTGAACTGTGTGGATGGAGGAATCTCCCACTGGGCCAAGCTTCGGTATCTTGCTAGTCGGTCCCACTGGCTCTGAAAATACCTGAACAATCTGATTGTGCAAAGATTTGAGGAATGCCGGCTGAAAGGGAGCCGACAGCCCCACACACACTGTGCCAATTTCGTCCGGTACATAAGAAATGCGGCCAGTGGATGGGCACCCTAAGTATACAAATGCCATACAGACTGAAGCCAGGATCCCGGCGCTGCAAGGCAGGCACGTGTATTAGCATTTTCAATGCGTAGATTGCAAGAAAACATGAACATATTTGTAGGGACGTTTTTTAATTTGTTTTATTTATTCCGATCAATAACTTTATTCATTTTCATGGATAAAGTTTCCAAATAAAAGTTCCATAACCGCAATAAATGTTCAGAAGACACAACAATGCATGAGGATGACCTCGGACTGATATAGCGCAAAGAAAGCACAAAATTCATTCCAATCTCACACTAAGCCCAATTACCAATAGTATACTATTCACTACACTCCATTTATCAATAGTATACCATTCATCGCATGTCATTTATCAATATTATGCCATTCACTACACTCCATTTATCAATAGTATACCATTCATTGCATGTCATTTATCAATATTATGCCATTCATTACATGCTTGAAGCAAGTCAGGGCGGTGCGAGCTTGTTCTGCATTTGACTTGCTTTAGAGTGAGGATAGAAGTATCTTTAGCTGGCTGCAGGTCTCAGTTTGCCAATCTGATCCTGGCTTTACCTCCGAGAGAATTATTGAACTGGAACAAGCATGCAGCCAGTGAAGTGTGAGCGCTCCCACCATGCATGCTCGGCACTGTTGCAGTTGGTCTTGGTGGGGGTCTGAGGACACTGGAACAAGCATGCAGCCAGTGAGTTGTGAGCGCTCCCACCATGCATGCTCGGCGGTGTTGCCCTTGTATGTCCACCATGACTGATGGCAACCATTGGCGGCTTTACATTCCTAACACCGTACACCGAACTGACTCCGGAGTTCATCGGGTTGGGGTAATAGATCTGTGTGGAGGGGGAGGGGCTGCTGGTGATATCTTGTAGACTTTTACTATGCTGCGTCCATGTGTTTGTAGAAGGATCAGGTAGATAAGTCCTATAATGACTCTCCCATGTGTGACGTAAAAGGGTGCCCGCTGATATCGGGAGGACGCACGCCTGGTACCACCATAGGTGTGCTTTAAAGGGGCCTTCTGTAAAGCCCACCCCCTTCCTGACTTCCCATGTACCCCTCCGATGTCCTCACCATGTGTAAGCTCCATGGTGTCGGAGCTTACACAGGTTTGACGTCCTCCGCATATGGTGTTCAGATCTGGCTGTGACGGAGTGGAGGGGGAGCAGAATGTTAGTCGGGGGTTTAGGATTTAAAGGGACCCTGAGTGGCCAAAATGACATCCCCTGAACAGCAACCCCGATCACTTGTACTAGCCAGGATGGCTCCCCTCCACCCCGCCTTGGTTTTCAGTTACCACAGCACAGTGTAAGGTTGGAGAGCGGGCGCAGACCAGGGAACATCTGCGATTTAAATTATTTTGATCGCTAATGAAAACACTCACCGGACTTCTCCCCCCTTCCCCAAGTGGCTCCGTCGGCTAACGGAGGGAAGAGGGGAGGAGTCCGGTGATGTCCGTGACGGCTAACGAAGGGAAGGGGGAGGAGTCCGGTGACGTCACCGGACTCCTCCCCCTTCGTTAGCCGACGGAGCCACTTGGGCCGGTGAGTTTGCCCAAGAAACTATACACATACAGCACAGCAATGAAGTAATAAAATGAACTAGGATCACACTTATCCAGCACGTTATTATTCTGAGTTGCCCCACTCAATATGGCCGCCGCTTGAGTGGGGCAACGCAGAATAATAACGTGCTGGATTAGTGTGATCCTAGTTAATTTTATTAATTGCTGTGCTGTATGTGTATAGGCAATGTAGTTGGATCTGTATGTGCGTTATAATTAATCGATTAATCCATTTAAACATTTTAGGATTATTCGTACACGAAAATTTTAATCATTACCAGCCCTAAAATAAATAAAAGTGATAAAAAAAGTAAAGTCAACAGCACTGTGCCTGGGAACACAATGTCAATGCAGCGTAAATGGCGGACCGCGATACGGACACAGAGTGAGTGACCTGTCCGGAATGCGATTCAGACCTTGAGGATAACTCCTTCTATTTGAATTCGCTGCCCCTGACCTAGGAGATTTAGTGGAGACAATCACCTTAGACCTCGGTCCCACAGGATTCAGCTCTCCGTTCTTCTCCTCTCCCGGCCTGCTGGTCCTACATTGTACATGGTGATGTCTGTAAGGGGGCATGACCAGCAAAGAGAAATGATTTCAGGGGCCCGGGGACTATGGAGGGAGCAGGGAACCCAGGGCAGCGATCGCGGTCTATCTCCAGACAAGACTTTATTATATTTAAAGGAGAACTATGAGGTGAGTGCTTTTCACTCACCTCATAGTTCTAGCCGACCTGTGACAATGAGACTGTCACAGGTCGGCTCAGTAGATCGGGAGGTGAGCGAACACATACCAGGTTCGCTCACCTCTCGATCCTGTCACGGCTCTCTGCCGTGAAAGGGGGAGGGGCCGGATTCCCCTCTCCCCGCTCCGATCTGCCAGCGCTGACTGGCGGAATGGACGGGGGAGGGGGCGGGTACAGCTGGCTCTGCCTCTAGATAGGCAGAGCCAGCTGTCACTCACGCAGCTGGGTGGATCCCGTCATCTACGTCGGGATCCGCTGCGGCGTCTCAGTATACCGCGAGCTGTAGCTGTATACTGAGCTTAGGGTAACGGGAGGACGCTAGTTTGTGTCCTCCCGTTACCCTAAGGAGAACTATGGGGAAAAACACTGACCCCATAGTTCTCCTTTAATAAAATGGCAGAGTGATCAGAACTTGGGGCAGTGACTTCTGCTGGCTGAGCCCTGTTGGTAAGATATATATCTCTTTACTTCCTATCCTTGTGACAGCAGGAAAAAGGAAATCGAATTGGGGTCACCCGGACAGGAAGCCAACGACAACCCAACAGAGGTTCTAACCCTGTAAACTGTTTCTGTCTCCATTGGAGAGATTCCCCCCTCACTTCCTGTCCCTTTGACCCCCCTGTCACTGCTGCAGGAAGTGAGAGGAGATCTTTGCAGACAGGACAACAACATAAACCTGACAGAAGTCCTCTCCTCCTATCGCTGAAAGAGAAATTAAACATTTTGACTCTACCAAACCGTATCCTATCTTTTTTCTGTTGAATAGGAATTACAGCAGAGTTGAGTGTCATTGTGCTCTCGGACCCCTGCACCTGACTCAACACCTTCACCTCTAGCCCCCAGTGCCTAAAATATGTTAGGGTGACGGCATGCAAAGGATGTGTAGCAGGGAGCTACTCTTCTACTCATTATTTGCTCATTTCCCTTTCTATGAAGATGATGCCATTAGATGAGTCAGGAGGAAGTTTAAAGTGGCTTTTCATTGTCCGGTGAGTCGTTGTCGTTGTTGTTGTTGTCGTTGTTGTTGTTGTCGTTGTTGTTGTTGTTGTCGTTGTTGTTGTTGTTGTTGTTGTTGTGAGGTTTGCCTGTTTGCAGCTGAAACAAAACTATCTGTTTTTTTGGCAACAAATCGGATTCCGGTTGCAATGTTTTCCTTTTGTGGATTCTACTTGACCCGGTCTGACTTGTTCGGGCCTTATCTGTGTCTGAACGGTCATTTCCCATGGGACGTTGTTATTAACCCTTTTTTTTTTTTTCATCTGTAACCTACAATGGTCCAGCTCTCCAACCTGTGCAAGCTCCATCCAGGTCCCAACAGCCACTGACCTCCCCACCATGTTTTTCCATCACTGCCCTGTGTGAAGAAGAGCTAGCGATTGGCTGCTCATGCATAGGCAACCAAATGGTGCTTGGCACACACAGCGAAGAGGTGGAAGTCAGTGGGACCTGGAGGGAGCCTGCCCTGACTGACAGATGAGTAGTTTAGCTGTTTTCTTTTTAGGCCTCATTCACACGAGAAAAGGCCGGCACGTACAGCTCCGTGCACGGCTCTATCGGCGTCTGGGAAGGACAGGTGTTGCGTGTGATTAGTACGCAGCCCCTGTCCTTCTCTATGGGACTACACGGCCGTATGCCTACGTTCACCCCAAGTGCAGGTCCTTACGGGTGTCCCAGCTCGGACGCAGACAGGATACATCCTGTCAGCATACGAACACCCGCACTCGCAAGGAAGTGCAGGGTGGGTGAGCGTAGGGCAGTATACGGCCCTGTAGTCCCATAGAGAAGGACAGGGGCTGCGTACAAATCCCACACAGCACCTGTCCTTCCCGGGAGCTGCCCGATACGGCTGTGTGGACGCAGCACGGAGCTGTATGTGCCGGCCGTTTCTCGTGTGAATGAGGCCTAAGGCTTAATGAGGAGGAAATATTCAGTGGCCCAGCAATGAAACCTACTCTCTGGCACTGTCCCCCACAGACTCGCTGGTCACAACTATTCTTTTGGATTAAATGACACCCACTGTCATCCAACCCATTTCCCGTAAGCCTTAGCTGTCATAAACACGCCCCCTAGGGGCACATCATCACATTGGCTGGTGCTCACAGTACTCCTGGACGTCACGTGTCATTGTGTGCCCACCACCTCCAGAGAAGAGGAAGGAACCGTGACGTCACCAGACTGGCATCAAGACTGCAATGAAAAAAGCATGTATAAGGAGATGAAAAAAAAAAGTAGCTAGGGGGTATAAGGGGCTCCGGGAAAGGGGGATGAGATGGTTTATTAAAAGTTGAACTGAGCTTTCAAAAACTTGAAGCAGCAGACAAGTCAATATTTAGGTCCTCGGTAAATCTTGCACCAACTCATAGGAATCCATCTAAAGGTGGCCAGAGACATTAGAGGGCAGTCAAATGTGCGAGAGCAGTCTCACCAATCTTTTCCATCTGTAGGCGTTCTTGTTAAGACTTCGTTGTGGGGGGTGGGGGTGGGGGTGCACACCTTTTGTGGACACCATCATCCTTCTTAATATAGGGAGAAACCAATGCAATCTCAAAAGGTGAGCTTCAACCAGAACTTTGTAGGGGTCGCTTCAGTCAAGTCAGTTTTCAATGGGCTTTGAGAAAAAAAAAAGGTTTATATTTGCTGTATTTTTTTTTGGGGCTGGGGGGGGGGATTGCGTGCACAAATGCAGTTCAGTTGCAGCAGAATTGGTCTGGCTTGGTGAGTCCACTCAAAAATGATTTTAGTTATTAGTAGCTGCCGGAGAAATAAATCACCTGGCAGGTTGCTGTCTATCAGGCAGATGTCTGCATTGAAGGGTTATTAAACCCCAGCGCTGACTGGCGGAACGGACGGGGTAGGGGAATCCAGCCCGTCCCCTGTCACGGCAGAGAGCCGTGACATTATCGAGAGGTGAGCGAACGCCGGTATGTGTTCGCTCACCTCCCGATCTACTGAGCCAACCTGTGACAGTCTCATTGTCACAGGTCGGCTAGAACTATGAGGTGAGTGAAAAGCACTCATCTCATAGTTCTCCTTTAAGGTAAATCCCTACAGCAGGATTGGGAAGGGGGAAAAAAAATTCTGACTTTAATGTCTGCATTAAGTTCCATGGGTAGATGGAGAAGCCTTCCACACACCTTACAGCAGTCCAGGTCTATATAGAATATGGTGCTCGCTGTGACAATCACGGATGGCGCCATGCAAACCCCTTTCATATGCTCCTTATTGTTGTCACGTTTTATCTGCCCTGAGGAAGGGACCCTGTGTGGTTCCGAAACGTTGGCTTGCTGTTACTGTGACGTTTATGTCCAATTAAATGGACATGTTTGATATCATTGAGTGCTGGTGATTTATATCTATACTCTGCATTACGTTCCAGGCTCTGCACGCTTGTTCAGGAGCTAATTTGTCCAATCTAGTAGCCAGCGGGATTTCTTTTATAGGAGCCAACTCCATTGACCACAACTAGAGGAAACCTCAAAAATTGAGGTCCAGCTGTCATTGGTGACCTGGCTCCTGGGATTTGTCCAGCCCGGTCTTAGCACTTTGCTGTGTAACGGATAAGGCTGTATGAGTTGTTCGTAGCAGCCTGTTAAATCCTACCATAGTTCTTTTACTGCAACGGAAGGAAGGACCTGTTTGGCTGTGATCGTGACATGGCTCTTCTTTCAGACACTTTGATGAAGAGGCTTTTTTGCTGTTTTTGCATGCTCTTGTTCTAAGAAAACTCTGTCGATGGTTCTCTCGTTGTTGTTGGAAAACCTCCAATATTTGTACCGTGCCAAGTGTGTTACATAAGAGTTTCGAGCCATTAGCGTTCACAGAGCAGAGTATAAAGTACGCCGTTTATTGTACTTTACTCCGGACGCCGTGTGTGTGTGTGTGTGAAAGTGACGGGTCTGTGAAGACAGGCCCAGGTGTCATACGTTTTAGGCTTCCTCTGTCTCCTCTTCGTGGTGCTCAGGCTCCGGATTTGAGCCACTGTCTGTGAGGAGACTACCGAGGGCTGATGTTGAGGGCCCAGGGTCCTGAATCATGGCTGCTGTTTGTATCCTTTTTAAAAAAAAAAAGAAAGTGTTTTATTTATTAATATTTTGAATGCAAAAAAAATGAGGTCAGCAATGAAGTGGGACAGCAACAGGTTTCTGTGGCGACTTATTTCACACACTCGCATATACACTCGGGTTTCTGCTTACCACTCCGAAATAGAAGATGGTGTTTGTATTCTCACCATCCTTGCGGCTTCTGTAAAAATTGATTCATGAGCTTTATGGATACGCTCCAAGCTGCCAATATGCTTTCCAGTCTATGATGTATACTGTTCAAGCTTTACTTGCAGCTATTGATTTATTGGGAAACGCTAGAGTGAAAACAAACAAGCATTAGAGGAGCGCGAGGTAATGTAAAACAGGATATTGTTTCATCGAGTTGCATAGAACATTAGATATAGATGAGGGGTGGGCAACCCCGGCACTCCAGCTGTGCTGAGACTACAAATTCCATCGTGTCTCTCCCTCTGGGAGTCTTGTCTAAGTCCTGCTATGCCTCATGGGACTTGTAGTTGCAAAACAGCTGGCGTGCCAAGGTTGCCTACCCCTGATATAGATAATAGATTAGATCCAAATGCTCATTATAAAATTACTGTTGCATTGAATTCCCTCTGTAGTTGAATCACTTCACTATTTTCTTACTAGTTCTTTCCAAATATGATGTTTGAAGTTCTCAGAGCTTACCTCTGTTCTGTTCTTCTTCTGGTTTGAACACCAGCGTTCGAGCTGCAGATGCAGGCTATTATTCTCACACATGATTTGGCATGTAAGAGGAAGTTTCTGGGCAAGTGTAGCAAATCTGCGCAAGTGTTGAACGGTGGACATGACACTTTTGATGGACAATCTTGCTGTCCTACTTCTTACAGTTTGCACTGCGGAGGACCATTGACTGACTGAGATGGAGGCTGGGCCATGAAACATAGCCCTATACTAATGTGGTGGTTCAGCTGGTTAAATCTGCATTAGCAGGCTAAATTGTAGTTTCCAATGGGATTGGGCACCCCTAGGTGACAACCGTGCTTCTGTTGTTGGGCTGGTGTCACCAGGGAAAAGGAAGCATGGATGGGTCTTACTGTTCAGGAATGGTTGGAGATGAATAGAGAATTACATTTAAAAATAGACAGTAACAACGAGCAAGGTAGGACATACTTTAGGATAGTAGTGCACAAACTGGGACCTATGAGCCAGATGTGGCCCTTTGCTTGGCTTCATCTAGCCCTTGGGGCACTATTCCTCCCACTGGCAAGATGGGGCACAATTTCTCCCTTTGACACCAGCATTGGTGGCACTATTTCTTCCACTGGCAACCAATGAGTGGGGCACTATTCCTTCCAATGATACAAATGAATGGGGTACTATTCTTTCCCCTGACGCCAATGAATGGGGCACTATTCCTTCCAATGACACCAATGAGTGGTGCACTATTCCTTCCATTGACACCAATGAGTGGTGCACTATTCCTTCCAATGACACCAATGAGTGGGGCACTATTGCTTCCAATGATACCAATGAATGGGGCACTATTCCCATTTCCACTGACGCCAATGAATGGGGAACTATTCCCATTTCCACTGACGCCAGTGAATGGGGCACTATTCCCACTGACGCCAGTGAACTGGGCACTATTCCCATTTCCATTGGCGCCAACGTATGGGGCACTATTCCCATTTCCACTGACGCCAACGTATGGGGCACTATTCCCATTTCCACTGACCACAGGCACTAGGCCATATTTTTACTCCCAACATACCACTGATATTGGGGAATGTTCTGCCCCACTGGCTACTGTCTGGCACCTGCAAAGTCTGAATGACAATGAATTGGCACTTTGTTTAAAAATGTTTGGGGGATAAAAAAGGGCCTTCACATACACTTGAATTTACAACCTTCCATTAGGCAGCATGGAATGCCTAACTAAAATCTGTATCTGTGTTCACTGTGCTGTGGCACAATGCTGATTGATGGGACAGCTTATGTAGAGCTGAAAGGATTTCTTCATGAGAACTGAGTTTTTTAAATTTTTTTTTTTTTTTAGACCCTATTTTGCTCGAATATACAGAAGAGATTTGACCAACCATAGTTCCCAGGTTCTGACTGCTGCTAATTGTGTTTATTCTTTTGCTCAGGATGCAATACGTACGCTGAACACGCTGCAGACAAATGCCAGTTACCTGGACCAAGTGAAGAAGCAGAGGAGTGATCCTCAGGAACAGCTAGCTGCTATGAGGGGCTTCTTGGAGAGGAGCGGCCTGGCGGTGAGTGACATCACATGGGTTTAAATGAAGGTGATATTGTTGCTTTACAATATAAGGAAGACATTACAATCACGATACAATTCAAGACAAGATGGTAAGGAGGGCTCTGCCCGTGAGAGCTTACAATCTAAAAGGGAGGGGCCAATGATACATGAAGAGATAGCCGTGTGGGGATGAATTGTTTGAGAACGTGATGGTTGAGTGGTCAGGTTGAGGTCGGATAGGCTTCCCTGAAGAGATGAGTCTTAAGGGATCGCCTAAAGGCAGTCAGAGTGGGAGATAGACAGGTTGGGGTAGAGAGTTCCATAGGATGGGAGAGACTCTAGTGAAGTCCTGGAGGTGAGTATGGGAGGAGTTGACGAGGGAGCTGGAAAGCAGGAAGTCTTATGAAGAGCGGAGTGGACGGTTAGGGTGATACTTTGAGACCAGGTTTGAGAGATAGCCGGGGGCAGATTTGTGGATTACTTTTTAAGTGGTTGTTATTTAACACCAACTGATATCCTAAATATTTAACACCAACTGGCATGAGTGGCATATGTTCAAAGTGACTTCTTGGTGATTATTTTCTGTCAAACGGATTACCCTAAAACAAGCTGCAGACTCGGCTAAACATCTACTGTTATGGCTTGGAAATTGTCCTTTAAAACAGCTCTGCTAGAATGAAAAAGTGAAAAGAAAATCCCAGTGGGATGATTTCTAATCATTTGGCGATCTTTTTCAATCTCTTGCCAGACTTCTAGGCGTCCCCAACCTTCTTTCTGAGGGCCTTAGAGAGTTCCGTTCATCTTGGCATGATGATACCATACACGTGAATAGCAAAGAGTATATCAGACCTGAGATCCTGGAGGCTTAAATAACACAGTAAAGTTTTCTCCAGCACATCCCAAAGATTCTCAATGGGGTGAAGGTGTGGACTCTGGTGGCCAATCCATGTGTGTAAATGATGTCCCATTCTTTCACAATTTGAGCCTGATGGATCCTGGCTTTGTCCTCTTGGAATATGCCCAATGTGCCATCAAGGAAGAAAACAATCCATTCATGGAAAAGCCTGGTCTTTCAGTATATTCAGGGAGGCAGCCGACCTCATTTGTTGGCCACGTAACATTGCTGAACCTAAACCTGACCAACTGAGGCAACCCCTCTTACCTATTTGCTTGGCTAAATCCAGGTGGTGCCTTTTTTTGGTCAAGCGGTGTATGTGGACAAAGTGACCAGACGGATTTTAAGGCTGCTGTGCAACAGCAAAAAGTTTCCCAGCACACTCGCCAGCCAGCATGCAAAAAAACTTGTCTCACCGCTAAGGTTAAAAACAGAGGTGTAGATACACGTCTTCTGCAGGAAATGTGAAAGCCGCGCTGCCTTGCCAAGGCACCTCTATATAGTGTGGTCCTAACTCTAAACTATGCCTTTAAGGGAGGTTGGGCTTCCGCCTGACAAACCTGTACCCAATTTTATCTTTTGCTACATGTGCTCCAAGATGGAGACTCTCGTAGTTTAGAGTTAGGACCGCACTATATAGAGGTGCCTTGGCGAGGCAGTGTGGCTTTCACATATTCTGCAGAAGACGTGTATCTACACCTCTGTTTTTAACCTTAGCGGTGAAACAAGTTTTTTTGCATGCTGGCTGGCGAGTGTGCTGGGAAACTTTTTGCTGTTGTACTGTATAAAGCCCTTCCATGTGCACCTTGCTGTAAAGCTGGTGACAAATTGATGAGTGCGTTTGCAATTTGTTTTGCTTGAAGGCTGCTGTGGGTACAGAGTTTCTTGTTTTCTTTTTCTCTCATGACTGAACCTGCATTTTCAGCTACCTACCCATAATATTTCATTTATAAAAAATCACAGACCACTCCAAAACCAGCCAATCGCTTTGAGACCTGTGCTGGAAAGTGACAGTTGCAGGATGAACATTGCCAATTGTGATTTGTCGAGTTGTCTGACACCATTCTTCCCTCAACGGTCCAATGATTTTGTTGAAAGTGATCATTTAGCACAGAACTGTTGCATTGTTCAATCCCAGCCTAGCAGAAGGAATTCTTCAGGCCCCAGTCCCGTACATATTGCTGTCTGCTTTTTTTTTTTTTTTGGGGGACCACATCATTTTATCACGGAGGTAGCAGAATGACAATCCATTGAGGAACTAGTGTGAAATTGGGAACTAGCAGGGCACTTTGATGCAGCCGGGGAATATGCATCAACAGGGCTTGAAAAATCCACTCACAGACGTGAGGACGGCGGAGCCCGACGAGTAGCTTCCCTGCCGGCCGTTGTAATTACACTACCGGCTGGGAAATTAGCAGCCGCTGTCACTCCTGTGCTGGTCCCGAGATCCGATGCGGCCAGGACTTGCACGGCTGCGCTGTGACAGGAGATCAAAGGTAGAGCGGTACACGATCTCCCTTTGATCCCCTCTCCGTCAGCGAATGCAGGAAGGGATGTATATTACATCCCTTCCTGCATTCAGTGTCACTCTCCAGCTACAGAAGCTCATGAAGCAGATCGCTGCTTCATCAGCTTCTCTGGGGGTCCCGAGGTAACATTAGGGGTCTTGGAGACCCCTGATGTGTCCATAAAGAGGACCTGCCATGTAAATTGGCCATCACATAGGGTAACCTAAGCTGCCAAACCCTAATTTATATACAGTTTACAGTTTGGCTAAGTGGCTTCCAGGATGTGTCCAGTTGTGTTTTTATAATATGTTACAGAGGATTTGTACACAGTTAAGTACATTATTTGCACAGCAGTATATTATAACGGCTAAAAATAGTGGGGAGAATTTATCAAAACTGGAGCAGACAAAATCTGGTTGCAATGTAACAAATTGCAGACTTAGGGTTTGTGTGTACATTCTGAAAAGACCTCAATGAAGTGTCGATCTTCAGTGTCCCCTGCTGTGGTCAATGATGTATCCCATCAACCCTTCCATCACTACACAATGGAGGTCTGTTGCATAGCGGATTCAGAAGAAGCTTTCTCTTGATGACACAGGGAACAGGAGAGGGGTGTTTTCAATCTTCTCTTTTGCAGGGATAGCGTTGTGGCCATTTTTGCCCCCCTGGCATAATCTCTTTAAATGCAGAAGATAAAGGCATGCAATGCCAATAACTGTAGTGCTAAATCTGTATGCAGTTCTTAACTCCGGAGCTATGAGTGCTGATTGTATAATTCACTTAAGAAGTCACATGCTAAAAATGTGTGTAATGCGGAATTTCCTTTTAAAGTCAATCATATTTAATAGGAAAAGACTGTCTGGCCGTTCACCATGCCACTGCTACTGTGACCTCCACTGACCTACAGTTTGAAACTCAGTTTGTGGGAAAGTGCATCAATCAGCAACCAAGGGTAACCTAAGGGTGCCCACACACCTTACGATAATCGTACGATAATGGCGGGAAATCCCGTGATCGTACGATTATCGTAAGGTGTGTGGAAGCCGTGCGACCTCTACTACTGTAAGGTCGCACGACTTTAAACTTACGGACATGTTCGAAAACCCGCCGAGCATCGTACGATGTTCGGCGTGTTTGTGGCATGTCCGTACGATAACAGCCGTACGGGCCGGTGTGCGCAAGTGCACACTGCCCGTTCCGATTGCGGTAATCGGAAGCCCACCTCTCAGGGGGCGTGGCTTGCGATTATCGCAAGTACGATCTGCCTATGCAACATAGGCAGATCGTACGTTTTTTTAAGTACCTTACAACCATCGCAAGACAAAAGTCTTGCGATGGTTGTAAGGTGTGTGCCCAGCCTAAGCCTCCAAACCCTAATTTATATACAGTTTGGCTAAGTGGCTTCCAGGATGTGTCCAGTTGTGTTTTATAATATGTTACAGAGGATTTTTGCATGCAAGCTTGGCACAGAAGTATATTACAACTGCTAAAGATAGTGGGGGGGGGATTGACCAAAACTGGAGCAGATTTGCACTGCAACCAATCAGTTTCTCTCTCATTTTCTAATTTTACCTGAGCAAACTGAAGAGAGATGCTGATTGTTTGCCATGGGCAACTGCTCCAGGTTCTGTCTGCTCCAGTTTTGATAAATTCCGCCCACTGTATGTTCTTGCCTCTCATCTTGACTGTTTGTTTTTTGTTCTGTGTGTTCAGGTGGAAGACTTGGATCAGCTAAATATAATTCACGTGACTGGAACAAAGGGCAAGGTGAGTTTCACAGGAGCAGAGCAGAATTGTGAGTAAGTTTTATGTAACATGCAGTTCATTCTCAGAATCTATCTGTTTCTAAAAACATTGAACTTAAAGGGTAAGTTCACTGACTCACAAAATGTGAAAAAATTAGCTTATCAATACCACCGCGTCACCTTTTCCCGGCCCCAGCTGCACATAGGTATGTGATTACCCCCCCGCTTTCGGCTGGCGTACAGTCCATACACCTCACTTCACAGCCTTGCAGTATGTAATGAGCATAATGCTCACAAATGGGGGGCGGGGGCTCATTGGTCAGCACAGTCACATGACCACTGGCATAATTTGGCAGTGTGTCCGCTGCGCCATAGAGGATAATGAGCCTGTCCAAAATGTCGAGGGGGGTTTGTGCAGTGAGAGAGAACTGAGGGTTATCCACATCTAAGCTCTGTGACTTTATTCCAAGTTTTCGGGAATGGAATGGGGGAGGTTTTTTTGTTTTGTTTTTTTCCTCTGTGTGAGTTGCTTAATACTTCTTTGGAGTGATGAATTCATGTGTCCTAGCTTAGTCTTCACCTAAATAATTAGTATGTATTGCCCCTAGCAATCAGTTTCCAGCCATATTTGTTAGCACAAAGGTCAAACACTTAAGCTGGCATGGGATTGGATGCTCTAGGGAACACCATTCCGTCTTGTTACTTCCAGTTTTTGTTGGCCGTCTTTTTACAGCAGATCTCGGTGTTCTTTTTCCACTGAACGCATGATTGGAGAGTATGATAAACATCTTGAACTATTCTCCGGCGTCATTATACACCTCAATAGGACAAATTCTTTAGCTCCAAATGCCGTTCCAAATCCTAACATTCGATTTTGGAATAAATGGAGTTTCCTGACAAAAAAAAAAAACACATTGCTTGGTAGAATGTTTGTTCGAGAAAAACATTTCGACCCTGTTCCAATTTTTTTAATCAACATGGTTGAAAACAATTATTAATTTAACCTCATTAACCATAAGGGCTCATTCACACAAGAAAAGGCCGGCACGTACAGCTTCGTGCACGGCCGTATCGGGCAGCTCCCAGGAAGGACAGGTGCTGCGTGTGATTAGTACGCAGCCCCCGTCCTTCTCTATGGGAGTACGTGGCCGTAAGCTCCGGAGCCTGATCCAGGAGGGGTAAGTATATTACACACACACACATGGGGAATGGCTGAGGTCTCCTTCCTCAGATTTTGCTTTAATAATCCTGACATAAGAGAGGTATGGAGGTTGCCTGAAATGCCAGTTCCGTTAGTTTTCATGTTGGATCCTCTGGCTTCAGTGCATTGTAAGTCGCTGACCAAGGACAAGTATGTATATCGGGTGCTGATTGCTCGTTCTTGGTGCGCGGCACAGCCAGACAACTAGCATTTTTAGAAGCCTGCATATTTCCTACAGGGCAAGCTTCCTTTTATCATTTTAAAGATAAAGGAGGACTTCATAAACTTAAAAATATTCCAAAAATAATATTTAAAATACTACAAAAATAAAAGTAGCCATCCCCCAGTTCCCTAATCTAAGTTAGGCTAAGTTCACCTCTGACCACCTATCTACATATGCCCATATTCAGATGCCTATACGTGCTGTGCCTGTGATGCTTTGGTTTGTGGTAGGGATGCACTGATACCGGTATTTTGGTACCGAGTACCGATAATTTTTTTCCAGTACTCGCCAATACCAATTACAGAGTACCGGAAGTCCCATTCAGGAAGCCAGGTGGCGTGTAATGACTCGCCACCTGGCTTCCTGATTAGCCGGGAAGCCTTCCCACATGAATCCCGCAGTGCGTATCTCTGTCCCCTCTCATCTCGGCATGTCCAGCCTGTCACCCCCCGGGGCCTCTCCAGCCAGGAGCGATCTTCCTCCGGTACCCAGCCGGAGCCATCCTGCTGGCCAATCATGGAAGTCGGGCGACGTGTAATAAATAAAAGTAATTCACCAGCACACACTTGAAGGGTTTTTAAAGTATTGATATGTTTATTCAATACCCAATGTCACATACTGTCATACGGTGCTAATGTTTCGGGTCCGCACAGGGATCCTTCACCAGAGCGACGTGTAATGACGCGGTGCCCTGCTTTCGGCTCGATGCTCCCTGGTCATGAGATGACGAGGGAGCATGAATCAGAATGCCGGGCGCTGCGTCATTACACCGTGCCCGGTTACCTGATTGGCAAGCTTCCTGACCAATCGGGAAGCCGGGCAGCGCATCATTACACGCTACCCGGCTTCCTGATACAGGAAGTATCGGGCTAGACATCGGAGCATTTGGGCGAGTACGAGTACTCGCCCAAATACTTGGTATCGGCACCGATATCGATACTAGTATCGGTATCGGTGCATCCCTAGTTTGTGGTGTCGCAAACTTTGACTCCGCATGCATGCGTTTGCAGATGGTGAAGCTTGCCAAACTCATCCATTGAAGTCAATAGGACTACGCTGCAACTGCATGCTACTTGGTACGAGGTTGCAGCATGAAAGCTCAGTGTAAAATCCCCTTGGGATAAAATGGGCATCTAGAGAGGGCAGCATCACCACCTGCAAACCGCTGCTCAACCACTCGGAAGAGCGATTCACCACGGATCACTTTTTGGAGGGGAGGTAAAGTCCTCTGTCTGCGCGGGCGAGGTCTTAGATTCTTACTTTTCAATGACAGCCACGGCCTACCATGATCCATTACGTCCTCGGTGCAGAAATCCTCCCCAGTGCTGGATGCACAGTAGCCCCCCAATAACTTGAATTGGCCCATACCACTAGTGTCTCTACTATACAGTTCCATTCATGACAATAGAGCAAAGGTGAGAATAGCGCCAGCTAAAATTTCTGCAACTTCCCATGGGGGGTCACTGGCAGAGATATAAAAAAAAAAAACTCGCCAATAATTCAACTCTTAATTTTATCCAAAAAGTTAAACAAGAATTAAGATTCCGATTTGTGAGAGAGAACTGTTTTTATCTGTATGTTGCTGATATTGCCTGTGTGACAAGTGGCCACTGACACTGTGCTTTGTGTATTTAGGGGTCCACGTGTGCCTTCACTGAGCATATTCTGCGGAACTGCGGCCTAAAGACTGGATTCTACAGGTAATTGTCCATCTGCAGGAGGTTTTGCATGTGGAAAGGAAATTACAGACTTAATGAATGGCCCGCAAATTGAGTCACCATTGACTTGCCATACACACATTTGTCGTGCATGTGTTTTGTAGCCCGGGGAAGCCAGTGAATACGTAATTCCTTCACATGACCGGCGGGCTAATTCCTGAGTTCCTGTCAAATGACATCTACTGTGAAAAACTGATAAGTTCAAAGTTATTGACTGACAGTCCAGAGTAGAGCGAGTACTCATCTGTCTGATATTATTTGCATACTGTCCCTTTTAACAGTAGTAGTCTAGAGGTGAGGCTGTGCTGAATAGACCTCTGCCAGTCTGGATGTCCATCATCAGACATGATGGCAAGATGGATGTTTGTTTCCTTTGCCATAAAGTATAAAAATTAATAAAAGAACACATTTATATATTATTATTATTATACAGGATTTATATAGCGCCAACAGTTTGCGCAGCGCTTTACAATATAAGGAAGACATTACAATCACAATACAATTCAAGACAAGATGGTAAGGAGGGCCCTGCCCCTGAGGGGGTGTCTCTAAGCCTTCCATGACTGGATGGATGTTCTAGCATTGTGTCTGTTATTCAAGTCGGCTTTAAAGTTGAACCCCATGCAAACAGCCAACTAGACACATGAAATATAAGAACGGTTTTACCTGCCAAAGGGATTTACATGTGTATGTATCCTGTCCTGAGATTACACGGCCAACCTGGAGTCCTTGGTCTACTGCAATTAGGTCTTGTCCCTGCCCCCAGCCTATGACTGGACAGTGAAGGAGAAGCAGCAGACTGATGAGCTCAACTCTGAAATTCTGCTTTCCCCTCCTGTCACCATGTCGCCTGTTAGCACATGAGCACTGCTCAACAATTGCCTCCTTGTACTGCTTCTTCTCTCAGTCTGAGTGCTGCTGTACAGGGGGCTGCAAGAGGTGGACACCGTGTCAAATTCAGATACTTCCACAGAGCTGGGTTTACAACCTGGTTGTTATATCCATCATTCTATTTCCAAGAAGAAGGAACACTTACTCTAAATGTCTTTGCTTTCATGTTCTTTTACGTCCTCCTCCTCAGATAGGGCTTCATATGTACAACATCTAATAACTGATCTATTGAATCCCCTTGTAGTTCTCCTCATCTGGTACAAGTAAGAGAGAGAATTCGGATCAATGGGCAGCCAATCGGCAAGGAGCTGTTCAGCAAATACTTCTGGCAAGTTTACAATCGCCTGGAAGAGACCAAGGTGGGTCTGAGGGGGGTGGGTTTATTTTGAAGTTGAACCCAATGCATGTGGCTTAACTGCAGACAATCCATCCCTCTCCTGGTCTGAGTGCAGAGGATTATAGGAGCCAGATTCTCTCTAGATTCTTGCTGCAGTGTTGAACACTGTGCTGAAAAAATACAAGGCTGGCATTGCCCACCATTGTTTAAAAATACTTGTTACCTGGCTGTCTCTGGTTTCAGTGTTCTCTGGGTCACTGACCCAAAACAAACATGCAGGTTAGAAAGTCAGTAAAATCCGATCTCCTGATCTGTTTCATGTCAGCGCCTAAGAAACGATTGAAGCTTGGATCAGTGCGACAACCAAGCAATTGGCATTGGGAGAAGGAGAATTCAGTAGTGGCAGCCTTCGCATTTTTTTTGTCAGTACAGGTTTCCTTTAAACCTTGTTTATGATCTTCAACAAATGCTAACTGACTGGCTGTTATGCTGATCCACTTGCTTCAGTAATTTGATGTTCCCGATCTGCAGATTTTTTCCGGGTACACACATAGATAGATAGATCTATCTATATATAGATATCTATCTATCTATCCACACACACAAATATACAGGGCTTGAAAAATACGCTAGTCTATGACGAGAGGACGGCGGAGCCCGACGAGTAGCTTCCCGGCAAGGAGCTTTACATTCAAGCGATCAGGCGTCTTTAGAGACGCCCGATCGCTTGTATAATTAACCCCGCCCCCCCAGTGGTGATTAAATACCACCAAAAGAAAGCTATATGTGTCCCCAAATAAATGTTAACATGAATTGCAAGGCTATAGTCCGGTCATGCTGACTGGTGACATTTTTGACTGACTGGTGAGACACGCTAAAATTTTTCTATGTGTGTGTATGTATATATATATATATGTTGCAATCATTTTTCAAAAGGAGAGTTCAACAATAGCAGCCTCCATGTTTTCTATGTGCCTGAAATTTGGATTTAAATGTTTTGTAAAATAAAAATAGTGTATTGATATTTAAAAAAATCATGATCCAACCCACCAGTTTAAACTTCTAAGCATGTAAAGAAAAATGACCACAACCATTCTACCTTTTAAGACCAATGTTCAGTATGATTCTTCTATGAAGGACCGTAACCATCTCGAATTCTTCTTCTCTTCTCCTCCAGAATGATGACTTGTGCTCCATGCCCGCTTACTTCCGCTTCCTGACCATTATGGCGTTCCATGTGTTCCTTCAGGAGAAGGTTTGTATATCATGAGAGCTGTAGGTTGTTCGGAGCCTGCACCACGGTCCTGAGCTGACATCTTACCTTCTCTCTCTGTTACAGGTAGATCTGGCTGTACTGGAGGTGGGAATTGGGGGAGCGTATGACTGCACGAACATCATCAGGTATGTAGAGTTTGCTGACGCTTCATGCATTGACGTGACACTAAACTCAGTACTTAAACCTTTAAAAATGCATTCAAGTACCTTAACTATTAACAACAATGTATCTTATTTGTGTATCACTCGGCTGTAGATCCTCCAATCATCTCTGAATTGGTGCTGACACTGTCCTTCCTTCTGGAGGGTGACTACTTTTTGTTCCTCATGGTCCCTGCGTGTGTTGTAAAGTAGTCACCGCTCCCAGATTGCTCCAGTGATGGACTATAACTTCAATACAAATTAGTAAAGTAAACCTGAGATTGTAGTCTATCCCGGGAGTGAGCTTAGAGCGGTGACTACTTTACAACACACACAGGGACCATGGGGAACAAAAGTATCCCCCCTTCCAGAAGGAAGGACAGTGTCAGCACCAATTCAGAGATGATTGGAGGATCTACAGCCGAGTGATACAAAAATAATATACATTTTTGTTAATAGTTGGGGTACGCGAATGCATTTTTAAGATTTAACTCCTGAGTTTTTAATGTCCCTTCAAGCCCACTGTTACAGAAAGATCATCAGTTTCTCCTGGAGGTGGGTAGATTTAGGGGGATATATGTAGACATCCACACCACTGACCGGTTTTGGATTTCCTGCATACTTTAACAGTGGAAATAGACTCGATCATGGGTGCAGCATGCAGTGGAACTGGTTTATGGGGAAAAATAAAAATAAAGCACAGTCTTATAACATTTCAATGGCTGAAAGGAGAACAACAAGGGTACATTAGTAGTCTTAATTTTCAGCAGGAATTGTGGATCCCAGCTAGAGACCCCATATGCTGTCCATGTGTTAGCAGTCTTGGAGGAACAGGGTAATAGACGGCAATACTAAATTCTTAGCCAGTGCTGGTCATGTGACAAGGCCAGCCATCGGTTCAGGTGATCTTGGCTAAAGGATCTTAGATCTTGTTCTTCAGCAGAGATCATATGACCCAATGTATAGGGATTTGGTTATGGTAGCAGCATTGGGCTGGGGGATGGGGTTGGACTGCAGCAGAATTTTCAGCAGACCTAAGACTATTCGATTACTCTTTTATCTCTCTAACATTTTGTGTGAAGGTGCAATTTATGTGACACAGCAAATCTAAGCTGAATACCGTCCCCTGGTGGCTGATGCAAATGTTGCTTTGATGCCATTTAAAATGACGGGCCAGAGGATGCCTCTTTATACCGTTTTTTGATTGGCTGTGGCTGCACGGTGGCAATTGGCCGATTTCTGGACAGCATAGAAGGGTCATGTTAAATGCACCTGTTTTAAGAGACACATTGACTGAACCTCAAACTTTAAATGGTTTTCTACTTTGCCTAAAGACTTATCCAGTTCCCTATTCAGCCTCTTGATGGTTAAAAGGTCAGAATGTATTTTTATTCAAGCCTAAGGTTTCATGCCATCCTATACCCAGCTTGTGTTTGGTTTTCCTCAGCCATCGGTGGGGTGGGGTAGCTTGAAGCTGGCATGTCATGGATCCTGGCTGTTCTTATAACAAACACAATGTGATATAAACCAGAATTTCACGTTTACTTGATCTATGAACCATTCATAAATGCCACTTGTATTTTGATTATTTCGAATTTTTTTGGTTTTTCCTTCCTCTAGGAAACCCATTGTTTGTGGAATCTCCTCACTTGGCATCGACCACACAGCCATCCTGGGAGACACTATTGAGAAGATTGCCTGGCAGAAAGGGGGCATATTTAAGGTTTGAGAATTGATGTCCGGCTAGCCTTGTGTCTATATCACTACAACATTTGATTTGGTGCACACACTGGGGGTCTCAGCTGCCGTTGTAATGTGCCGGGTCCCTTGTGTGTCCCTGTACCTTTTTAAGGAGGTTAGGCTGCCTCCTAGCTAACCTACACCCAATTTTATCTTTTGCTACATGTGCTCCAAGATGGAGACTTTCATAGATTAGAGTTAGGACCGCACTACACAGAGGCGCCTTGACGAGGCTGTGCGGCTTTCACATGTTCTGCAGAAGACATGTATCTAAACCTCAGTTTTTAACCTTAGCGGTTAAACCGGTTTTTTTTGCATGCTGGGAAACGTTTTGCTGTTATACAACTACACAAGTCACTGTTCACCTTTTATCGATGACATACAGATTGGGCAGACACAGCAGTTTGAAGTATATGTCCATTGTACAGGAGGGTAGACATTAAAGCTGAATTCCTTGTGCCTATAAATAAAAAAAGAAAAGTACTACCCCCATGCAGTTATGCATTTACAGAGTGCCTCATGTTGCAGTAGCATGAGGTAAAGTGCATGTTTGACTTGAACACAGGTGTGCAACCAACCTAAATGTATCTTTAAAGGCAAGTAGCGGAAGTACCTGTACTACTGTAATCTCCTGTACTGCAGCACGCATGCTGGCAAAGGGAAAGACCATATTAGTAGCTAATAGGGTGTAGTGCAGGCAAATTTGTTGATAGTAGGGAAGAGCAAAGTGATGGAGATCAGGAGTCGCTATTTTTTGTAATGGCGAGAAAGAGGCCTTGTGTATTTTTAGGGAAACTGTCATGACAAGGCTAATTTTTTGCTTTTGGGACTGCTAGTTCCCTAGCTGTCATTCTGATAATGTGACTTTAATTCTGTCATAGTACAAGTATACAAATAATGATGAAGCAAACAGAGTGCACTGGATAGTGCAGGTAAATCAGCACTTGGTGAATAAAAGTGGAATAAAAATGCACTCAAAGTGGCGATTTAATCAGGGCATATAATCGGGCATTCCAACTCCCATCAGATATCAGGACTTGGTTACAAGTATAGGAATATCTCTTCATAGCAGCCGGCAGAGGGAGAGATGGGATGCAATGGTAAATGTGCTGTAATGGATGCCAAACAAAGGTTGGGGGTGAAACACCACAACTCATCCAGATTGGTAGTCATAGAGTGCGGACTGAGCCGCCAACCTGGGCTTCCACTGACATGCTTCAGAGCCCCAAAATTAGTCATTAACACTGCATTCTATCCTTCCTTTGCCTGATTTTGTAAAGGTATATTGCACTTATAATGGTCAACCAATATCTGATGGGAGTCGTATTGCCTGGTTATATGTCCTGATCAAGTCATCACTTTGTAATTGCACTTTTATTCCAGTTTTTTAAGAAAGTATATTACTGCTGTGGAAGAATCACACAGCAAAAATGTGTCAGTCATTTATGAACAGAACCTGAAAACTAGCTCAGTCATGAAGGGGTTAAATAAAGATTTATCCTCGGTAACCACTGTTCTGTTTGCTTTACCTTGTACTTTTCATTATATTGGCTTTGGATATACACGGAGCTGGCAAGGGTGAGGTATTTGCCTTGGCACCAGTGGAGCACGGTACATGTCAAGATTTATATAGAAACGATGAAATCTGACGCATTTTCACCCTGCTTGCTCCAGGTATGTCACTCAGAAGTGCTAAAACCAATCACATCCAGGCATCTAGCATTATCAGGAGGCTTTCAATGGCAGCTCATATGAAATATACATTTTAATTGAAGCTGAACTGCAGGCAAACTGCTAAATACACAGAGAAAAGACTTGTATGGAAACATTTTAACTTCCTACAGGATTTGTATTTCTGCCAGACAGCACATCCAGGTTGGTGACCTGACTTTTCTTTACTGCAGTTGAGCAATACAGATGGGTCACTTCTCTACCTACAACCTGGGATTGCACATTGAAGGAGCAGCATTGGACAGACCTTATCAGTCTGCTGCTGTTCAATAGCTTTTTAAAGCCTATAATTCTATTCTGAATAACTTCATCAGAGATGTAATTTTACTTTTATGATCAATGGGGCTGATTACAACATCTTTTTGTGTCTTAGAAATGTATAAAAAAAATAAGTAATTTGTGAAGGGCAATACTATCCAAAGAATGTCTTGTCTGCTCAGAAACCTTTTCTAAGTCAGTTTAAAGGAGAACTATGAGGTGAGTGCTTTTCACTCACCTCATAGTTCTAGCCGACCTGTGACAATGAGACTGTCACAGGTTGGCTCAATAGATCAGGACGTGAGCGAACACATACCGGCGCTCGCCCACCTCTCGATCCTATCACAGCTCTCTGCCGTGACAAGGGAGGGGCTGGATTCCCCCCTCCCCGCTCCGATCCTCCATCGCTGACTGGCGGAACGGACGGGGGAGGGGGCGGTTACAGCTGGCTCTGCCTCTAGATAGGCAGAGCCAGCTGTCACTCACGCAGCTGGGCGGATCCAGACATAATTGTCTGGATCCGCTTCAGCTGCGGCGTCTCAGTAAACCGCGAGTTGTAGCTCGCTTTATACTGAGCTTAGTTCTCCTTAGGGTAACGGGAGGACGCTAGTTTGTGTCCTCCCGTTACCCTAAGGAGAACAATGGGGAAAAGCCCTAACCCCATAGTTAATGCACATTGGTGGTACTTGGCCCCAAATTAAACCATATTCTGCTTTTCTATTAGACCTGGACTCTTTTTTTATATCTTGGTATGTTATGTCTCTCAGTCAGGTGTTCCAGCGTTTACTGTCCCTCAGCCTGCCAGCCCTCTACAGGTACTGAAAAATCGAGCCCAGGAGATTGGGGTGAGTTCCTGTTCCGTAGATCTGTTTCTGATTGGCTAGATTTGCACAGTCTCACACTGATACTCTGTCTTCCAGTGTCCTTTATATGTTTGTGCTGAAATGGAGGAGTATGAGGAAGAGGGGAAGTCTCTGCATCTGGGTCTTGCCGGAGATCATCAGAAATCCAATGCATCCCTGGCATTGCAGTTGGCACAGATGTGGCTTCAGCAAAGACGGTGCCAAGGTAAAATACATAAAATGCGACCGCAAATGGTCAGCGTTCTACATCCATCTGGAGGGGCAAAGCCTTTTATAAGAATAGATTGATTATGGGTTCTTATTGAAAGATGCTTTGATTTGTTGTCAACAAAGGTACAATATTTGTCACTGAGGCATTATTTCCTCCATGTTAAAAAGGTTTTGTATCTTATTTTTTGACTTTCTAACTCTGGGGTGCCTCTCGATCATGGCCACATGCCATACATATGCCTTGACATCTGCACTGACTTGAATCTAACCCTCACCTCCTGAGCTAGGCCCTCCCCTGTCCTCTCCAGCAGTCTGGTGTGAGTAGCCTCTAGTAGCCATTGAGGTATAAACAGTGCACGCTGTCCGTACTTGCACATTATGACCTTTGCCATGAAGTGTGAGCATGGATAGCATATTTTGCACTTCTTGGAATTGAAAGGGTTAAAGCAAACTGAATCAGTAGCAGCCCTTGCTGTAATGCCTGATCATTTCTACAGGCAATGGAAGTGGTGACCCCCTTCCCCCCTCTGTAATTCTCGGGCTCTGCTAGTCCTCCTAGAGCCCTGGACCACAAATGTATCACGATGGCTGGCATTGAAACAGCACAGAGATCCAATGCCTGATCTCTTGTTTGTGCTGCTGACGCGGAAGGGCTCTGCTCAAAGCACTTATGGGTTCTGGGCTCTAAGATGACAGCAGGCTTTGCCTATGCATACATCATATAGAGTTTTTTCTGTTCTCGACCTAAAAAAAACTAAGTGCAGGAGAGACATTAGGTCTAATAGACCCCTGGTGTCTCCATGAAGAGAACCTGTAAAATTAGGGATGCACTGAAATTGCCAAAAATAGTACTTTGGGCAAAATACGGAAAGTACAAACCCCCCCCCCCCCCCCAAAAAAAAAAAAGAGACACTTTTTTTTTTTTCCCCCCTTTTTTACAC